TGAATATCTTTGTTAAAATGCCCGTATAACCACTCTGAAGATGGCGCATGTGAGCCGAAAGCTTAGACAAAATGTTGGACAATTTTTGTATTTATTTTCAATTTTTCTCTTTATTTTATAGAATGTATCAATTTAAAAATTATTTTCTCCTAATTTATAGAAACTGAGATATTTGTGTTTATTTATTTATTTATTTATTTTGGTTGTTAGAAAAGCCCCTAAAGGTTAACTGGATCAGCTGACACCGGAAGAAGGCCAGTGAGTTCAATGGCCGAAACGTTGTAATAATATCAAAGATAAATTTGCCGTCACTCTCCCCAGTCTTTTGAAGAGGGGTAGAGGTTTATCCCTTCTTTCCTGTTTAGAATTCGGTTTCCAGTTCATTCTAAAGTCTACTTCAACTCTTTCCTTCTAAATTTTATTTACTAATAAGTTTTCTCTGTGTTACTGAATTATTGATCTTGAAATATCAATAAGATTTAGACATTTGAAATTGAATTATTCATTTGTAGAAATACCTTTTTTATCCTATTATGTTTAGCACTTTTTGTCTTCATAAACGTAGTCTTAATCAGTTATACATATAATGAGAACTATTGAAGCCTTTTACATTTATTAACTTGTACGTAAACTGAACAAAAACAAAGCAGCAGGACCAGACGGAATTGTAATAGAGATGCTGGCAGCCTTAAATGATTTCGACATTGACAAGATTACTGAAATAATAAATAAAATATACAACAGTGGTGATATGCCGGAAGACTTAAATAGATCCATTTTCATAGCGATTTTCAAACGAATGTGAGCCCCATTGGACAATCAACCGAATGAGCCATATAACAAACCTTATCATCCGAATTCTGTTGAACAGAGCGCACAGTAGAATCAGACCAGAAATAGGACAATAATAGCTCGGTTTCGTTAAAGACACAGTAACAAGGAATGCGATATTTATGCTCTGGGCAATAGAAAGAGCGATACAAATGCAAAAGTGTGTATACCTCTGTTTTATAGAATATGCACAATTATTCAAAAACGTTTGATAAAGTATGTCACAAAGAACTGTTGAAACTGCAAAGTAAGCTTCATATATGTTGTGGATTCCGGGATGAAATCGGTCTCAAATGAATGACAAACGCAGGAATGAAATATAGCAAATAAATGTATTGACGTAATAATACAATTGGTAATACGGTTAGTAGATCCAGAAATGCGGTTAGTAGCAATAATAATATATATACAGTCTGGGAAATTCAGTATCGAAGTAGGACTTCCTTCTGAGTCTATGTGCTCGCAACTGTGACTCCTACAAAGCGGTTACCTCACACTCTCACCCTCTGTATAACTTCCGTGTATTCACCGGCAGCAGTACAAGTACACACAGGGCGAGTCCACTTGTATGAAAAAGGAGTGGACCCCTTAACAATATATTTCGGGATGATATTAGAATAATCCAGAACTTATACTGCGAGCACACCGCCTGCATGCGGATAGAAAATGAGTTCAATAAGTACACAAAAATAGAAAAGGACGTAAGACAAGGAAGTGGCTTCACACCGGAATTATTTTACCTTTAGAGTGAGGTGATTCTATAAGAATTCCTACCAGGATTCATTGCAAGCCACAATCATTAGATATGCAGATGACTCAGAGTTGAAAGCAGACAACAAAGGAAGCTACTGAAACGCCTACAGAAGGTAGTGAAGGAAAGCTAGAAGAAAGGACTAATCATCAATTATAAGAAAGTATAAAGCACAGTTATCAGAAAAAAGAAGAACCCAACATTCGAAATAGAAACTGAAGATGCAAAAACCAAACAAGTAAAAGAATTTGAATAAACAGGAGGTGTATTAGCAGAGAAAGGAAAATGCGACATCGAAATCCGAAGACGCATTGGGATAGCGAAAGATGCCTCCCAAAAGCGAAGCAAAGTATGAAGAAAAGTTACATAATATCAGTCCTCCTATATGACAATGAATGCTGGACAATCCCCTCACAGATGAAAAAGAGATAACATAAATATAGTTCTACAGAAGGATACTGAGAATACCATGGACCGAACATGTGAGGTTTTAGAGAAAATGGAAACAAAAGCGACACATATTTAACATCAGAAAGTGACAGTTGAAATTTCTAGAGCGCATAATGAGGAAAGAGGGCTTGGAAATTTTGATACTCACAGGATAGATTGAAGGCAAGAAGCACAGATGAAAACAGCGCTTAACCTACTTAACGAGTTTGTGTAAATGGATACCAGAACAGGGACTAGGAAATATAGTAAAAAGACACAAAAGAGATATAACGGACAGGAAAATGTGGAGTGCCATGATCGCTGACGTTCTGAAGAGACACAGTATAAAGAAAAACTCGCACGTATTGCATTTAGCATGTCCAGGTAGTGATATGAGTATCGACACTGACGGAGAGCCAAGTTCTAATTCTGGCCTAATCTGTTGCATAAAATCTTCTCGCAAATATACGAAAAACGCATGATTTTTTGATTTTTTTATTGATTTGTTTCTTTAACGGCATATAAACTCCTTTTGTTTTATGTTGAGGGGTTCTCCCCTTTTTACACAAATGGACTCACCCAATATATACATATACTACTGTACGGGAAGACGAGAGCAAGACCGTCGAATCGAGTCCAGAGTGACAGAGTAAAGGTTGTAGGTAACCGGAAGAGTGAGGGTGAGGTAACAGCGTTGTAGGAGTCACAGTGAGCGATCACGTAGACTCAGTAAGAAGTCATACAGCGATACTTCAATACCAAAGTCTGTATATATATTTTGCTTCTAACCCGTATTCCTGGAACTACTAACCTGCTTTACCAGTTTGTATTATTACGTTAATACATTATTTTCATATATTCATTCCTGGCGTTTGTTATTTATTGGTACCGGATTTCAACCTGGAATCCACAACAGGTTATTTAATGCCGAAATTTTAAAAATATGTTATTCTGCTTTCACATAGTAGACAATACTTAGTTTTTGTGCATATACGTGTTTGTGTAGACATAATTATGAAAAGCTGTGATATGTGTGTTTTATTTTGTAGTTTTGTTGAAGTTATATTTTGGAATACAGTTTGATTTAAGAAATTATAGGATATTATATGGATTAATATCATGAAAGTGTTCTTTCAAGTTGGTTGTTTGTTGATTTTTTTTTAATGGCATATCAATTTCTATGGGTTATTTAATGCTGAAATCTAAATATTTTAAACGCAATTGTACGCCTTCAACTACAGATAATTTGTATTGTTGGTCATTTTGCTATAAAATGTATTGTTGGTAATTCTACGATAAATCAGTATGTTGGTAATTTTTATATAAAAATGTATGCTGGTATCTTTAGTATAAAAATGTATTCTTATATTTTCATAGGGTTTTGTTTTTGTTTGAGGGTTCACTATTTGCCCATAGCTGGAACCCTAACAGGTGCTACCACCCAGGGTAAGGATGGAGCTGGGAATAACAGCAATTAAGAGGTGGTTGCACTCTCCTCAAAACTTCCAATCTCCGGATCAGATAAAAAGCCATGAATCATTCTTCCTTCAACAATAGGTTAAATAACAAGGTATACTGAACTCTATAGCTATGGATAGCTACGTGTCTACCTAAAGGATTACTTTGAATTCAAAACAGTGGCAATGACAATGGGAAACTACTTCCCTATCATAACAGTTCAGATATTATGAAGAAAATTATGCGAGCCATGATCGCCTACGTCCTGAAGAGATATGGCACAATGTAATCCATTGCTAGGTCAGCTGCTAAGAAAGTAGCTACTCTGTGTCGTGCGAGACAATTTTTCTCTCCAGAAACTGTGTTACATGTCTATAAGTTTACCATTCGTCCATGCCTAGAGTATTCCTTCCACATATGGTTCGGTGCCCCTGCTATTTACCTTCAGCTCCTTGACAAAATCCAAAGAAGATTCAGCAATATTATCGGTCCTGATCTGGCAGCTCAGCCTCAGTCACTTTCCCACCGCCGTAAGGTTGCCTCTCTGTGCATTTTCTATAAATACTTTCATAGTAATTGTTCGGATGAGCTCTTTGCTATGGTACCTAGACTTTTTGAATTTAAGCGCAATACTAGACTGGCGCCGAGATCTCATCAATTCACAGATGAGCTGGTTAGATGTAGCCTTAATTTCTATGCTAACGGTTTCTTTTCTCACACTTCTCGCTTGTGGAACTCCCTTTCGGCTATTGCTTTCCAGTTTCCTTTAATCTGCAAAAATTCAAGTGCAATGTCAGTTGCTATCTACTGTCTTCCTGATTACATTTTCCCCTTCCCGCTTATTATGAATGTTTCTGTTCCTAATTCTTTCACAACCTGTAACCCCTTGTGTTTTAGTGGCTATACTGCCTTGCATGGGATGATACCGATTAAAAAATGTAATGCATTTGTTTTACTATTGTTATGGTCCAGGTTAGGACCAAGGAAGAACAACACGGACACAAGAGTAGAAATAACGAAAGTATATTACACGAAATAATAATACAAGATGTGTAAGGTGTTAGTATGACTGTCAGTCTGGTTTGGAGTGAACTACTATCGGCTCGACTCGATTCGGTATCTAGCCACCACCCCCACGAGGGTTGCATGTGGCACAAGGCCGAGTTTAACATGGGTTTCCCGAGCCGGTAGTTTCGGCCAAAAAATGCCCGTAGAACCGGTATAAACGGGATCGGGTTGGTCAACCTCCCCGAACGAGACTCTGCCCTTCGGCGGAGCCTCGTCCGGGTTCCTCTCTGCTCAGAGGCAGAGAGTTCGACCGTTAAGCCGAAACGGCTCGACTCGATTTGACCCTCTCTCTTGAGGGGCGTAGTATACATAGTGTTAGGAAGAGTTCATTCTGTAGTTATAGGTAACGACCCATGACAACTATATAATACGTCAAATGATGTAATGTTTGTAAGTTTTGCTTTATATAGTTATCTCCCTTGTGCTGGCAATACCAGGTAACAAGACATACTGTCAAGTTCCTGTTGAAAGACCCGTTCTCATACGATCACTAAAGCTAAGCAACGTCGAACTTGGTCAGTATCTAGATGGGTGACCGCTTGGGAATACTAAGTTCTATAAGCTGGTGGTGTAATGGATATTGGCTCGGAATTGCTAATCAGAGAACCGCGTTCAAATTTCCGTTGGGTTCGTTATATTCACAAATATTATACGCAGAAAACCCTTGAGAAAGGTATGAATCCACCTCTTCTCCGCCAGCTATGGGTTAATTAGTAAGATTTGTGTCGCTAAACCATTATTACCTACAAAAATCTTACAATGCAAAAATATTTTCTTGCTTTAAATAACCTGCAAAGGGTTGATAAACCGTAAAAAACATTTAATCAGTCAACCAGGTGACAGTATCTTTGATATGACAATGGCGGGTATTTATGAAATCTGTAAGTGAAAAGGTTGACTCCGTGAAAGAACAAATTACAAAAATAATAATTGAATATTTAAAAAATGACTCATTTTTTTTTTACATGGGAAAACTAAAAAACTGAATAAATAAAGTAAAAATAAAAATTCAGAATATTTTCACTGTCAGTTATAAAAGAAGTAATTTCTTAACAACAACCTTTTAACCATTTCACAAAACGCAAGGCGATAAAGCCACTAAATCTCAAGGTTTAGTGTGGGTGAAAGAAAACGGTATTGAGTGGAAAGAACAATAAAGAACACTTTAAAAAGACAGCAGATGACAATTGATGTTGCGTTTAAATTTTTGAGCATTGCAGTTGACAGAAAATCAAGAAAACGAAAAGGACTTCCACAGGCGCGGAGTGCGAGTGAAGAAACTATTAGAAAATAACTTTCGGTTACGTTTAGCAATTTCAACAGTGAAATGATGAGACCTAACTGCCAGTCTAGTAATACCCTTAAATTCACGAAGTCGAATTACGAAAGAGGAAAGCTCATCAGAAAAATCACCAAGAAAATATTTATAGAAAAAGCAGAGGGAAGCTACATTATGGCGGTGGGAAAGTGACTGAAACAGAGATGCCCGATCAGGGCTCATAATGTTGCAGATTCTTCTTTGGATTTTGTCAAAAATCTCTAGAGACAATGCAAAAACAGCTGACTAAATGTAGCAGCTAATGTAATACTTCTCAACATATTTTTTTTTAAGTCAACAAAATCAGAGTAAATTGTACTTTAAATCGAACCCAAATCAAAGATTGGTCTGTAAACAGTTCCACTGGGGTAAAAATTTAATTCTTTATTTTATTGGCACGAAGGAATTCGGTGCCGACCCAATTTATCTAACAGCAGCAAGATCAATGGAAGAAGCGTCTCTCTCAGAGAATAAATTCCAAATGCTGATCCCATTGATCAGAAAGATTGGATTTTGTCTGGAATAAACCATTCCATAGTTGTTAGTGTATGATCATTGATTCAGGGGTGATTTTATTTCAACCCATTAAGAGAAAAAATCTGCTTGAGACGAAATATGGCTGAAGATAAAAGTGTGAAAGAGAGCAATGCTAACGAAAAACTATTCTTTGGGTTTTGCTATCATTATCTTTATTCTTGGAATCATCCGTTCGACTCGACATTAATTCCAGTTCTCTGTCTCCAGGCTGAATAAGGAAGGGTTTTTCCCTCTCTGTAATATCGCCATGCTCGTCAAATAAACTTGATCGATTAGAGATATTAAGAGGAATAAATACAACATGGCTATTGACAATGAAATCCATAATGAACGGTAAGCAATTCGAAAGATGAGGGTGATAGGGAAGGGTAGAAACTTGAAAGGATAAAAACGAGACGATTGATGAAACGGCAAACGCTTGACTTTGCAGCGCCCTCAGGCGGCAAATTAGTCATTCAGTTGGCAATGGTAGACAACTGCTATATGATAAAATTATCCAAAACGCTTTATTTACCTTCAATAAACCTATTTTAACCCGATCGAATTCAGATTTATTGAATTTCAATAGAAATTTCGAATTTCTTTTAACAGGGCTAAAACTTTTTCAGTTTTACAACACACACCTAGATTTAAATGCTGAGGCTGCACAATCTTCTTAGAGATCGTTTCGTTTGCTTGACTTTGTGCCATACAATGCTAAATCTTTTAAAAATTTATTGATAAAACCTTTTCTACTTGAAAGTATAGTGCAACACAATATTCCTAACGCCATCACACGTATCTTACTCAACTAAGCTTAAACGACTTAGTGTCAAACTGCGCAAAAGGCTTTAGCATTATCTTTTATTTCGTTTTTATGTGATGAGACATGGATAACTATCATTATTAATTTTTTTACTTGTGTTTAATTTTAACGTTAATATTAAACTGCTTTACCCGGTCCATGACGGGATTAAAAGGAGTTTAGGAATATCAGGGAATGATAGAGGGAAAGAAAGTGCTTGAGTTACACTGATTAAAAAATAGTTTATATTGTTCTTTTAAAACATAAGAATGATTAAAAAAAAATAGTTTATATTGTTCTTTTAAAACATAAGAATGTAATAATAAGATTTGTTTAAAGGTTTAACAATAAATTTAAGATTTTTATTTACAATTAGTACTTAATATGGAAATACAATTAGTACTAAACTACTAAACCGTGATTTTCGGAGAGCATTTAATTAAAATGGAATCGGTGAGACGTTTAAATATGGCAGTTCTTAAGAACTTGTACTTACTGGAAAATAATTTCGAAGAGTTCCACAAATCGATTGATTCTTAATTATTGAATTATATCGTTTAATCAGTATGAATCAAAAACTAAATTTTGTACTTTTCATTAGTATAAACATATTAAAAAGTATGCAAGATTTTAAAGCTCAGTGACATCTCTTTTCTGATTTGTGGTATGTCGATCGATTGACGTATATCGTTTAACAAAAATCAAAAACTGACTTCTTTATAAATATATATATATATATATATATATATATATATATATATATATATATATATAACGTCATTCAGACAGTACTGTTTCGCTGTATCACAGCTCCTCAGTGCGACTAGACAACCGGATGCCTCGTCCAGATCGATACCCAATCGATTTGGTGTCAGAGCTTCTACCACTGAGCCATCTTCACTCGACAGAACGAGTCAACCAAATCTAGCGTATTGTTTTTACAAACATAAACAAACGCCAATATATATATATGTATATATGGCTTGAAGATAGCGTTTAAGCATGTAACAGACTGTTACCCGTGGGTGCTAGTCTGTGTCCACTTTTATATTTATACGCTCTAGCCATCATATTGGGCACTTTAACCCATAAATATAGTATACCTTAAAACTATATATTTATCATTCATATATATATATATATATATATATATATACATATACGTGTGTGTGTGTGTGTGTGAACATTGAAGTTAACACTTAGAGGCGACAGGCTGTTTCATGCTAGACGCAATCGTCTCCTCTAAGTGTTGACTTCAATGTTCACATTTATATTTACACACGCTCTATCTTTGATTTTGAGCACTGTATCCCATAAATATAGCACACCTTAAGAGTATATTTCTTCATATATATATATATATATATATATATATATATATATATATGCACTTCAAACTTCATTATCTCCACTATTCGAAGAGTTCACACGATGCTGAAAACCTTGGTACGTATAATTGTTATCTTAGTCTATTTATAATAATTCTGCTCAATACTCCATACGTCATCAGTCAAATATTGTTTGCTTCTTATTAAGTTAAATAAAATAATTATTTCATAATATCTTTTTTCTCCTTTCTCTTTCTGTCTCTTCATTTGCATCGCCTACGCCATGAATAAATAAATGTGAAGCTTTCCTTTCCCAACAATTAGATGGCCTTTGTTCTTCTGATGACGTAAAAGGCTTTCGTCAAATTTAAATTATTTCATTTTAAATGTTTTAAATGTTTAGGTGGCAGCCTAATTTCCCGAATCTTTGAATTGAGGTCACCTCGTCTATTATTCAATCTTTGTTGTATTGATGTCGTCAAAACAATTCGCGAATTAACACTCACCACCTTCCTTATCCCAAATATTTCAAAATAATAATGAAATCCATATTCTCATTCAATATATTTTCCTTTCGTTACTAAAACAGATTTCTTTCTTTCTTTCTTTCTTTCTTTCTTTCTCTCTCTCTCTCTCTATCTATCTATCTCTATCTCTGTCTCTTTGTCCATTTCATAATGTGTGACGTCATTTGTTTACATTTGGATGCGCTTTGAGCAGATATGAATGTACGTGAGAGATTTATGGAAGATGGAAGTTTAAAGACAGTAAATTTGACCATGCTAACCGAACGTGCCTCTGTGGCCAAATCGGTTAAAGGCACGTCAAGCTAAATGACGACTCCGTATAGGATACAGGTTCGAATCCTGTCGGAGGACGAATATTTTCTGTGAAAATTTCTTGAACATTCAGACCGGTAAATGTTATTTAATACTGTTTATTATAAACAGAGCATTTAATATTTGTATCTATAAAAAGAATGTATAAACATAAAAATGTCTTAAAATATATATTAGTATTAACCCTTCTTCTATATTAATACTAATATATATTTTAAGACATTTTTTGTTCCCCTTACAAGAGGTCAAACCGTTACACCCTTCTTTTGCTTCGCATGTAAATTTATTGCTTAAATTGTTGATAAATTTAGTCATCACACATAATAAATAAATTATACAATAAATACCATATTTTTATAACTTATAAGTTACTAATCATTGTCGAAAGGTTAACGTTTATGGCTTCCTGAATATTAATGCTCGTATTACAAATGTAAATACAATACGATTTTCTTAGTCTTGATTTTTCAGTGACCAGAAAAGTCATGAGAATAATTATAGAAAAAAGTTTGGTTTCCGGGTTGGAAAATTTCAGCTAGATGTCTATATAATATAATTAAACAAAACGATGACGAATCGGCTTAGATAACAACTGAACACAAAGTAAGGGTCCAGTTTAGCATTATACTTCCATTGTAAATTAAACTCCTTGCTAAAAACTTCAAATATTTTAACTTGGAAACTTTTCAACTAGATATTTTTGATGCTGCAAATGTTTAAATTAAAAGATAAATTGATTGATTCGTTT